CACCATGCCCAGCTAATTTTTTGTATTTTTAGTAGAGACGGGGTTTTACCATGTTGACCGGGATGGTCTCGATCTCTTGACCTCGTGATCCACCCGCCTCGGCCTCCCAAAGTGCTGGGATTACAGGCTTGAGCCACCGCGCACGGCCAATTTAAGGTTTCTAAAAATGGCTTCCTGGCCAGGCATGGTGGCTCACACCTGTAATCCCAGCACTTTGGGAGGATGAGGTGGGTGGATCAAGAGGTCAAGATCATCCTGGTCAACATGATAAAACCCTGTCTCTACTAAAAATACAAAAATTAGCCAGGCATGGTGGTGCGCCCCTGTAGTCCCAGCTACTCAGGAGTCTGAGGCAGAAGAACTGCTTGAAGCCAGAAGGCGGAGATTGCAGTGAGTCGAGACCTCACCACTGTACTCCAGCCTGGCAGCAGAGCAAGATTCTGTCTCAAAAGTAAGTAAATAAATAAAAATATCCAGCTGGGTGCAGTGGCTCACGCCTGTAATCTTAGCACTTTTGGAAGCCAAGGCGGGCAGGTCACAAGGTCAGGACTTCAAGACCAGCCTGGCCAACATGGCAAAACCCCATCTCTACTAAAAATACAAAAACAAGCCAGGCATAGTGGCACGCGTCTATTGTCCCAGCTACTCAGGAGACTGAGGCAGAAGAATCGCTTGAACCAAGGAAGCGGAGGTTGCAGTGAGCTGAGATAGCAGCACTGCACTCCAGCCTGGGCGACAGAGCAAGACTTTATCTCAAAAAAATAAATAAACACAAAATACAAAAATTTAGCTGGACATGGTGGCAGCCACCTATAGTTCCAGCTACTCTGGAGGCTGAGGCAGGATAATCGACTGAACCCAGGAGGCAGAGGCTGCAGTGAGCCAAGATAAAATAAAAATAAATAATAAAACAGTTGTTTATAAATACCTGAATGTAAGATGATGTCTTTTTTTTTTTCTTTTGAGACGGAGTCTCATTCTGTCACTCAGACCGGAGTACAGTGGTATGATCTTGACTCATGGCAACTTCCACCTCCCTAGTTCAAGCAATTCCCCTGCCTCCTGAGTAGCTGGGATTACAGGCACATGCCACCAAGCCCAGTTTTTTTTTTTGTATTTTTAGCAGAGACGGGGTGTCACCACCGTCTCTGTCCGTTGGCCAGACTGGATCTGAACTCTGGACCTCAGGTGATCCGCTTGCCTCCACCTCCCAAAGTGCTGGGATTACTGGCTTCAGCCACCCGGCCAAGCTGAAGGTGTATCTCTTAACAGTTTTTTTAGACAGGATCTCACTGTGTCACCCAAGCTGGAGTGCAATGGCACAATCTCAGCTCACCACAACCTCCGCCTCCTGAGTTTCAAGTGATCCTCCCACCTCAGCCTCCTGAGTAGCTGTGACTACAGGCTCATGCCTCTACACTTAGCTAATTTTTATATTTTTCAGTAGAGATTGGGGGGGGGGGTCTCATCATGTTGCCCAGGCTGGTCTCTAACTCCTGGGCTCTGGTGATCCGCCCGCCTTGGCCTCCCAAAATGCTGGGATTACAGGTGTGAGCCACCTGACCTAGCCAGGTATATTTCACTTGCAGTATCACTTAACACTAATCAACATCAATACTAAACATAGTATTAAAAAATAGACTGTACTTGCTCAAATGCTCGTAATTAAAAAAAAAAAGACTGAAAACTCAGGGCCACAGGCTTTTAAGCCTAATACTACCTTCACAGAGCCTCACAGTCGTGAAACCACAGTAATACTACCTGGCACTTACTAAGCGCTCAGCAAGGAACACCTGCAAGGTAGTTATTAATCAACATCTAGTTTAGTCTTGTTGACCTTCTGCTGAGGCACCTCTCTTGGGGGGTGGGTGATGTGCTCAGGGTTACCAAATGTAAGTGGTGGGGTGGGGATTTGAAGGGAGGATCCACATTCCACGATAGGCATTCAACAAGTTATTTGACTAAACAGCCAATTCAAACAGAGGTCCATAATCTGTAGTATTAAATAAATGTATGTGCTTTGCTTATGTTTTAGTTTTAGAAATGCTGAAATAATTATCAGCAATATGATTTATTTAAAAAAAA